CAGAAGAGGGCATCAGAGCCCCTGAAACTGGAGTTGTGAATGGTCATCAGCCACCATGTGGGTTCTGGGATCAGAACCTTAATCCCTTACAAGAGCACTGAGCCATCAATCCAACCCCAGAATCTCCATTTCAAAAAAAAAAAAAAATACACAGATGCATTTACATACATGCAGGCAAAACACTCATACAATAAAATAAAAATAAATAAATCAAAATAAATCCAAAACTTTTTTAAAATGTGGGGTTGGAGATTTAGCACAGTAGCAGAGCACTTGCCTAGCAAGCACAAGGCCCTGAGTGAGTGTGCATGCATATTTTTGTGTATTTAAGGTGTGTGTACATGGGGGGGTTGCGTGCATGGTGCATGTGTGGTGTGGTATGTGTGTGTGTGTAGGTCAGAGATCAATTTTGGAATTTTTCTTCAGGTGCCATTCACCTTGTTTTGTTTTTGTTTTGAGACAGAGTCTCATTATGTAGCCCAGGGTGGCCTGAGTTAGGCTTTGAATTCAGATTCACCTGCCTCTGCCTCCTGAGTGGTGGGATTAAAGACATATACTACCACACCTGGACTAATCTTGTTGGGGGTTTTTTTCGGTGTTGTTGGTTTTTTTTGTGTGTGGTGTTTTTTTTGTTGTTGTTTTGTTTTGTTTTTTTGTTTTTTGTTTTTTGTTTTTTTTGAGACAGGGTCTCCCTGTAGCTCCAGCTGGCCTGGATTCTCTATGGAGACCAGGCTGGCCTTGAACTCACAGAAATCTGCCTGCCTCTGCCTCCCGAGTATTCTTAGAATTTTCAATTTTAATCTTTTCCCAGCCTTTTCCCACTTTTGGCATCATCAACTGCCAATAGCACCTCAGCTAGGGGTAGGACTTCATGCCTGCCTCCTCCCTTCATGCTAAGATTTTTGTATGGCTTGAATTTGCACAGATCTTCTGCATGCTGTCACAACTGCTTTGAGTTCATATGTGTATCTGCCCTGTTGTGTCTGAAACACTGTTGTCATCCACTGCCCCTGGCCCTTAGCTTGCTATGTGGGTGCTGGGATTCAAACCCGGGTCTTCTGCAAGAACAACCAGTGTTCTTAACCTCTGAGCCATCTCTCCAGCCCCATCTTGTTGGTTTTTAAGTGTGTGTGCACTACTGCTAATCTTCCATAGAAGATATTCCACCCCGGTTCTGTGAAGCTCTCAGGCCTAGGCTCCAAGGTGTCTGCAACCCACTCCCCATCTGTTCCTATATGTGATACCACTGTGCCCACTCTTTCTGCCTTAAGGTTAGGAATCTTGCAGGAATGGCCCAGCCTGGGCCTTTTCTCCCTGGTTCCTTAGTTCTCTAGTCCAGAGGATATAGTAGTGTTTATTGAAGATTAAATATTGTTGAAAATAGCCTTCAGACCTTGTTCTACTATATATTTAATATCCCTTCCTGTGCCCTACTCCCCTGGCCCTGGCCCTGGAGCATCAAACACTTAAAACAACCTGTAAAGCAGGCATGTGTTCACCCTCAGTGGAAGGAATTGGCTGGTGACTTGTCTATCCTGAAGCACTACTCCAAAGGAAACCCCTCCCTGAGCCTGCCTGGGCGCCACCTAGACATCTCCTTCATCAGCACAGGAGGTCATGCCTTTGTCCCCACTCAGATAAACAAACAAAGCTGATATGTGTGTAATGCAGGAGGTCCAGAAGCTATTCTCCACCCAACAAAGATAGACCTGGCCTTCCTCCTAAGGTCAGCAGCAGGAGCCTGGGGACATGAGGTCAGTGAGAAGGGAGGGCCAAGCTGGGTCCCTTTTGTGGATGGATCAAGAAGAGGCTGGATCCCGGCAGTAAAAGGTGGGCGAGCTTCCTTGCCTCCTCTTACCCAGTGCACACGTAAGCTTGGTGCCTAGGGTTTGCCTCATGTTGGAGCACCATTCACTGTGGTGGCCTCCATACAGGTGTCCCCTGAAGTCTTATGACCCACCAGCCTCTTTGGTCCATGTGTACACACAAGAATTCAGCTTCCATCCTGTAGACCCTCCACTCCCACCTTCCTCTCCCCTCCCACACTGTCAGATCAGAGCCACAGGAAGCAGGGCCAGAAAGTGTGCAAAGCAAGAGCCAAGATAGGGAAGTTTATTTTCCAAGAATCATCTAAACACATGGGAACATATTTTTAGCCCTTCCCTGCCCCACCCCCACCCCAGATCCTACTGGGCTGCCAAACCTAAACAGGACAGAAAAGTGGCCTGTTGGGTTTTTTTTTAAAACTGGATAGGGTGGGAAAAGGTGCTGCAGACCCCTTGTCTGTCACAGTCACCTGTCTTCGCCAATAACCCTAATGAAGAAAGTTAATTATGGGAGTTAAGAAGCTACTGAGTGACCCCAGACTGTGATTTCAGGATCTGACAGGTTCCCTGACCTGCTCTGGGCTGCAGCTTCCTCATCTATGCAATGGGAGAAACAACACCTCACTCACATTATAGAGAGGCCCATGGTGACTGCATAGCAGGCATTTAGTAAATGAGCCTCACCTTCCAGAAAAGAGCCAATGGCCCTCAGAGAAGTTAGGCTATAGCCCAAACAGTCAGCCTTTGTGCTTTCCCCCAGCTTGGCAGCTGCAGGGATATGTGTGTGTGTGTGTGTGTGTGTGTGTGTGTGTGTGTGTGTGTGTGAGAGAGAGAGAGAGAGAGAGAGAGAGAGACAGAGAGAGAGAGAGAGACAGAGACAAAGACAGAGAGACAGAGACAGACACAGAGAGAAAGAGACAAAGAGAAAGAGAGAGATGATCAGAGTGTATACCCAATGCAGTCACCCAGGCAAGGGAGCGAAGAAAAGTTCAAGAAAGGAGGGCTGTGGGGTAGGTTAGACCTCCCTTGTGAGTAAGGGACCACTGGTAGCCGCCATGCCCACAGAGAGAACACCTCATGAGTCAGGCAAGTTGGGCACAAAGCACTTAGAACCACCTTCTCCAGGTGGCTCTAAGGGGCAGCACAGAGGCTGATGACCTCCTCAGAAGAGGAAGTTCTTCAGGAACACACACTAACAGGAAGAAATGCCCCTCAGCTTCCGGGTATGGGGCCAAGGCCAGAGGAACAAGCTGCCCATTGGGTAGCTGGCCAAGAAGTTTGCTAGGGGTTCACGATCTGATAGCACCTGCCTTGCCTCCAGGCCACAGAGAGGGCAGACAGGACATGAGGTGGTCCACAGCCTGGGCAAGCGCTGCCCTACTCTGACTCCCACTGGCCAGGTTTATCATGGGACAAGCCAGGCAGCAGGAGGTCCTGTGCCTTCCTGAGGCAGAGAAGTCAGGCCTCCCCTAGTCTCTAGCAAAGCTGGAACTTCCTGGTCCTGCTGTCACATTGTTCATTGAAGGCCATGTGGAGGGCAGGGATTTGGGGGTTGTTCATGGAAAGCAGGAATGATTGTTCTGACCTCAAGAGCTCTGAGCGTGAAAGAGGCAGCTGAGCTCCCCTGCAGGCTTCATGAGTTCATGAAGAACTGGTTCAGTCCACACACCCCTTGCTGACACAAGCTACCTGATGCTGCCATGGCAACTGCAATACCATCCTCCCCCCTACCCCAGCTGTGTGGTCACTGGTGAAGCAGGAGGGGGTACTTATTCTTGGTCACAAATAGAAAAGGGAGAGAAGAGGGTGGTAAGGAGGGGGAGCAGCCATTTCCCCTCACCCCAGGAATTGCCAGGGACTGGGGTTATCTTCTCCAACCAGACTTCTTCCCCAGGCCATCAGCAACAGGGCCTTCTAGGACTGTGTCCTCCTGGCTTGCACCTTCCTCTAGGGACACGTACCTCTCCTCAGCCCCAGGCAGACCAGCTGGCCCTTGCCTGCCCCTGGCCTTCCTATGTGCTCAAGGGCTGTGACCCTGTCTGTAATTTCCAAGGTTTGAACTCCAGCCCTGCCCTGAGAGCTTGTTCTCTGCTGTGGATCCCTTCTTTCCTCCTCCCAGTGTCCCCGTGCGCACCCTCCCCCACCCCACCTACCTGGCTCCCTGTTGCCCCTCCTTGGGAAAAATCCACTACAGGGAAGGAAGCCTGTTAAGTTCGGACTCCTTTTTCTGTCCCATCCATTGCAGATCCTGCCTGGGACATCAGCCTGAGAACCCAGGTACTGGCTCTGCTCTGCTCTCACTTCTGCAGCCCTGCACCACTGAAGAGTCACAGCCTGCCACTGGGCATAAACTCACTGGTGTCTCCAGTGTCTTCACAAGACCCAGAGAAACTGTGCCACCCCACTCCACCCCTGCCTGTCAGCTTGCTGCTCTGCTCCCCCTCCTCCTCTCTCCCTGCTGCTTCTTGACAGGCGCTCAGAGCGATTGAATCCAGATGGCCTCCCTCCCCCTTGCAGATGCCCCTGCCCCGACCACCCATCAAAATTGCAGCTGCCCTCCCTGCTCTGTCTCCATAGCACCTACTGCCTTCTGACCTCTTGGACACCTTTTGAGCCTCAGAGGGCAGTTTTCCTATTTCAGTCCTGTCACCTGCCCAGTGCTCAGAACACAGATGCTCAAGAGATATATAAGAAATGAATGAATCCCTGTTCCCCACCCTGCTGAGATTGCACTCCACACAACTCTACGCTCTATCTGGGACAGAGGGGTGGGCACTCAGCCCCTCAGTAGGCTCTGCTCTAGCTCCAATATGTAGCCTCCACCCAGCCTCTGTTCCTGGGCCTCAGTTTCCCCCACTGTATAAAGATGAGCCGGGTTCAGAACTCTGGCTTTTTCTGTATTGGTGCTCTAAGGTGCCTTCAGCATGTCTCTATGGTTGGGGTATGAGGGGATGTATAGATGGTTTATTCCTACATAGGCAGGGTGTTAAGGCACCAGACCATACCTGTTTGGGAGAGGTCTTAAGGCCTGTCAGGGATGGGGTGAAGGGAACAAGGATAGTTGTGGGGAGCTACAAACAAAAAGACTTGCAAACAGTTTCTCCAAATATATATATATCCTTTTTTTTGGTCTTTGTGAGACAAGGTGTCCCTGAAGCCCCAGCTGGCCTTGAATTCACAGATATCCACCTGCCTCTGCCTCCCAAGTGCTGGGACTAAAGGTGTGCACCACCATGCCCAGCATATATCCACATTTTAATCATCCCAAAATCCCACCTAGGAACTATAAGGAAAGGAAACCAAGTTCTCAAAAGGTTGAGGTCAGAAGTCATGTGTCCAGAAGTGAGCCATCATCGGAGGAGGCTAACCATCAGGTAGGCGAATGTAGAGACCAACAGGGTAGGTAGGGGCAAGGACAGCAGCTGTCCCGGAGCCCGGGACTTGTAGACTTGGCGGTCTCCCAGCTGCTGCACGGGCCTCACGTTGTCTTTCATAGTCAGTGTTTCTTCCTGGTCATAGAACAGCTTCTGGGAGAATGCTTCAAACTGTGGAAGAGACAGGGCTCAGCACGTGGAGCCATGCTCCTTGCTGTGTGGCCTCAGAGCAGGCACCTTACCTCTCTGAGCCTCATCAGGAAGGAGAGGGGCTCAGAATCACTATCTCTGAAGGATGCTATAAATAACCAAAGATGTAGAATGTGATGTTGGAGGGGAGCTGAGTTCCACTGGCTTCCCTTACCTCTAGATTTCAAGGTCTTCGATTTATTCTGACCTCTGTCATCATCACTGTTACCAGGGCACAGTAGCTTTTTAAGGTGAGAAACTTCTAGAGTCAGGGGCTCATGGGGCCCCAGATAACTTGGCCCTACCTCCAAAATAGGTCAGGAGTAAGCTCAAGAATGAACATTTCTAGAAAATTCTCACTGGTAAAGATGTCGATGCCCCTGGTCTGGGGACATTTTGAGAATCACGGTTATGGACTGAAAGGATGAGGAAGGGATGTTAGGCCTTTGGGTTTCATGCTGTCTCCCCAGGGGTTAATGTGACTCAAGTGTCATTTGTTGAATGTTTGAATGATTTCCCACCTAAGCAACTACTGGTCAACCTCAAACTCTGCCTGCATCCTGGTTCCCTGTGTTAACCAATCAACTCCCACTTTTCTGAAAACCTAGTCTGACCAACCCCTCCATGAACTCCCATCGGGATCTCTTCTCAAGGGAAGAAGCAAAGACATCTTTCTTTTTTAAACAAGGTCTTACTATGTAGCATTGGCTGTCTTAGAATTTATTATGTAGACCAGGCTAGCCTCAAATTCACAGAGATCCACCTGCCTCTTCCTCTCTGCCTCCAGAGTACTGGGATTAAAGGCATGTGTATGTGCCACCAGGCCAGGCTACAGACAGATCTTTCTTGTCTATTTCCCCCCAGTGAATAAGGGACTGACTCAAAGGCTCCCTACTCAGGGACCTGTGGGGCAAACAGGCAAGACTTTGGGGAGCCAGGCTGTGGGCAGCTGCACCTTGCCCCAGACCTGAGTACCTGGTGTTCATGGAGCTTAATGGGCTCCTTGAACACGGTCCAGATGACTGTCTCATCACAGGTTGGTGTGGTGAGTGAGCCTGAGTAGCGGAAGTAATGCCTCAGTTTCTCCTCATTGGGGAGCATGTCCATCAGGTTGATCTCATTCACTGTGGTGCTCATATCTGTAGTGGGAGACAGTTCCTCACACATAGCGCTCTAAGAGCAGTTGTCCCAGCACCCTGTCCCTTTTTGTTACGGGAAGAAGCCGTCTTCTCCCTCATACTGACTCACTGGGTTTGGAGATACTGGTCAGTGCGTTCACCAAAGGCTGGAAGCCATTGTTTATCTTGTCCCCTACCTGGAATGGAAGGGAAGGGGGCTGTTGAGGGATCTGGAGGAGCTGCTGGGACTGGGCAGCTAACTCTGGAGGAGGCGGGCAGTGCCCTGGCATGCAGGGGAGTCTTACCTCCACCAGGAAGGCCAGCACAGCAATTTTATCATTAGGGTTCTGCAACACATTCTTGTTGCTTGATGTCCCAGTCTTTTTCTCATGTACAATGTGCATCTGGGAAGGGGGGAAATGGAGGGAAGACCTGTGGTAGGCTGGACTACCCTTCTTGCTCAAGACAGGTACGCGCCCAGAGCCCAGCCCAGGCACCAGGTGGAAAAAGGTCCCTCACCTCCATGGCAAAGTGTTTCCCGTCGACGGTGTGCTCCGAGCCCCTGTCCACCTCCTGTGACCAGTGCAGGTGCAACTGTGTGGCCTGGTACTGTGAGGTCAGGCCTCCCTCAGCAATGTAGACCTCAGTCCCCAGCAACACCATCACTGGGGGACACCGGAGTGGGCAAAGTCCTCACACTGGCCTCCATTCAGCCCTCCCAGTCCCCACCCTTGCTCCAGTCTTCCATTCTTCACAGGTTTGAGCCTGGGTCTCAAGGAGTAATCAGTGCAGCCTATATTTTCTCTGGCTGCCTTACAGTCTCCCTGATTGCTTCCCTCTCTCTTACACACACACACACACACACACACACACACACACACA